AATGAAGGAACGTCATTAGCCATGTATAATAATGGATCTTGGCCAAGCTAGTGGAAGCTCTGCTGAACTGGTCTCACGATCACCTCACCTCTTTGGGCTGATCTGATGTCTGCATCAACACCTCATCTCCCAAGCGGGGCTAGGTTGATAGGGGATCACTATGCAATTAGATATTTAGCCCTGGAAAACACCTCCCCATTCCCTCCCAGAAGAGACCTCCTGGAAGCAAGGAGCCTCTAGGTCACAAGGATACTTACCCGATAAGGTAATTTGCGCATGCTGGGCTTCCCCACACACAGCATCGTTGAGGGGTTGTATCCAGAATACAGCTCACACATGTTGTCCCTCATGACCTCCAGGTACACCTCACAGAGAGTATCAGTCCTTATGTTCCAGCCAGTCCGACCCCATCCAGCCATGCTGCACATGGATCCCGGCCTCACCCTGGAGTTGGCGTTTGGCAGAGGGATGAGCCGCACCCAGTTATTCAGCACTGCGCTGTGTGACAGCTGCCATGGACGTGAGGGAAAATGGGAAACCAGATCAGCACAGGGAGTGGAGCTGGGAGGGGCCAACACGTCCTAACAGAGGAAAATGGAGATGTGTCCAGTGCATGAGTGTGAGGTGATGGGGGTGGAGTGATTGGATGGGGGTGGTACCTCCCGAAGTGTGAGATGGGATGGGGGCAGTACCTGCAGCAGTGTGCGGTCACTGGGGCAGGGTGACAAAATGGGGGCGGTACCTGCAGCAACATGATGTCATTGTTAAGGGTCTCTCTGTTGTATTGCTGATGGGGGATCCGGCAGTGCACGGGGATTTTCTGTTGGCTCTGTTCCCGTTGTTGAATGTTATGGGCTCCCAGGTACACAGTGATCTTGCTGTAAAAACCAAGAGCAATACATGGGCATTTGAGGCAGGAGTGTACTGAGGTGGGTGATGGGCACATGGTGTGACATAAGTACTGATCCTGTGAGGACAGAGCAGTGATCTCAGACTCCTTCACTCTCCTTGTCCCCTGGTCTCAGCTCCGCTCCAGGCAGGTGACCCCTCCCAGATAGATCCAGACAGGGGTCTACGCCCAGGTGCCCCCGCCCCAGAGCCCTGCAGAACTCTCCTGTGGCTGTGAGCCCCTCCCTGTCCTGATCGGGACACTGGGCCAGAGCCCAGCTTGTGTCAATGGGATATAGCTTCATTGGTGTCAATGGGGCTGGACCCAGCTGGTGCCAATGGCCATAGCCCCATTGATTTACCCAGAGTTGGATCTGGACCATGGTTTGCACAGGCTCCTAGAGACACGCTGATGCCCTCTGAGCAGATCAGACCCCTGGGCTCTGCTCTCCCAGCCTGTCGCACTCACTGCTCCTTCCCTGCAACCTACAATGGCACCAGAGCTCCCGGCTCCCCCATCACCTGCTAATGCCCGACCTGCCCCGACATCCCCAACACAGAGGTGCTTACTCTCCATTGCAGTGAGCGGCCGTCAGCACGAAGTTCTCTGACACCAGGAACCCTCCACATCGAGACCTCTTGTCTCCCCTTTGTATATCCAAATAAGCCATGTAGGGCCTGGAATGGGGCTGGGCTTCCTGTCCTCCAATGATCTCACCTGGTGGGGGGTGGGGGACAGATTCATATAAAGAACCGCATTGACTCCTTGGGCTGGGCTGGGATCAATCTCCCCATCCCAAAGGGGAGTCCGCACATCCTCAACACAACCCCTGTGATAGTCTCCCTGGGAGATTCCTGTACCAGGAACTTTGCCCCATGCTAAGCTCTCCCCCACACTGGACACCCCATGGGGCTGGAGGGTAAATCTAAAGCTCTCACCTTCCTGGATGGAGAATCAGTGCCAAATGCACCAGGAGTGGGTAATGGCTTTGGGGGCCAGTAGCACCCAGAACGCCACTGACATGTCCCCTGCTGATATTTCGCCTTCTCCATCAACCCACAGTAACAAGCCAGGGCTGCTCCCAAGCTGCCCCCCCGCAACTGTTTTTGTACAGAAAATCGGGTTTTCTAGATAATGAAAAATCTCCCAGAAAGCATCTCCTCGCCTCAAACATTTCAGCGGTTTTTTTGGCAAACTGATCATTTGCCCCAGCTTTCGGCACTTTTCAGCTGACAATTTGTAAGCTTTCAGTCGCCAAAACAATTTTTTCTTTGGTCACACTAGAGATTAAGAAGCAGTGGCAAGATATGCGATGGAAACATGCCGTCCCCCATCCATTTAGTCCTGTTGCCTCCACTATCCCTGACCTTTTACAGCTTTCATTTCTCCAAATGTTACCTAGATTGCCAAGAGCTAAGGAACATTATATGCACACCTGGCCAGCAAATTTGAACTAAACACTGATCCTCTAAAAAAGCATTGGGAGGAGGAACAAGGCCAATTATTTTCTGCTAACCAAATGGAAACAAACTTTAGCCAGTGCTCCGAACTGCTCCTTGGAGCTACATTTCAGATTAATTCCACAGGAAATCATACACAGGAGGTACTGGACTTGCCTTCCACTGTTCAAACCAGATGCTGCTAAGACAGACAAATATTGGTTCTGTGATTCGGCAGGTGCTGACTTAACCCATATGCTCTGGGAAGGCACCTAGACGCATAGGCTTTGGGTGTAACTCATTTGGAGAGTACATTTTTTCCTATCAAATAAAATTAAACCTGTAATTTTCAACCTAACAAGCGTTAATTGGAAGCAGAATAAATCTGAAAGACTTTGGCTAAGCAGAGCACCAACAGTGGTGAAAAGACTAGTCCCACAGAAATGGAAATCAAAGAAGAGACCAACAATCAAAGACTGGAGCATGGACATTCTAAGCTTGGCCTCCACAGAAAGAACCTGTGCCTTGAACTTTGCCCCCTTCTTAGGTCTGCCCCACACTGGACACCCCATGGGCTAGAGGGTAAATCTGAAGCTCTGCCCTCGCTGTGTGGACAATCGGTGCCAAATGCACCAGGAGTGGGTCAGTAATCCCACTGCCTTGAGTTAACAGCTTTGGGGGCCGAAGTCACCCCAGATTAGGCCAGGCAGCCCCTGGAAGGGCACTGACAGGTCCCTTGTGGATGCTTCTTCTCCATCAGCCCACAGTCACCAGCCACGGCTGCTCCCAGACTGACCAGCCAAACATTTTATGAACGTCATTTTTTTCTCAGAAAGCCTCATCTCAAATCTGTCTGAAGTATTGTGGTGAAACTGATTCTTTCCCCCCAGTGTTGGGTGATATTTAGGTGAAAGTTTAAAAGTGCCACTTGTGGTTTTTTCCCGTGGAAAATAAAAAACGTTTTGTGATAACCTCTGAAGAAGTCTCCACCCAGGGGTGGAGTGTGTTTGAAAATCTCAAATTTAACAAATTGCAGTTATTTGCATGAGGGTGGCACATAGACCGAGATCCAGGACCCTATTATGCCAGGGCCTGCACAGAAACTAACCGAGATCAGGGGCTCCCTTGCTCCAAGCTTTTCACTGACCCAGGCAGTGTCCAGACACAAGCTGAATTGTTCTTCACATTGTACAGATAGGGAAACCGAGGCCCAGAGAGATTGTTTGTACACCTGCCTAAGGTGTGCTCTTGTTGCCAAGAAGGCTAATGGCATTTTGGGCTGTATAAGTAGGGGTATTGCCAGTAGATGGAGGGACGTGATCGTTCCCATTTATGCGACATTGGTGAGGCCTCATCTGGAGTACTGTGTCCAGTTTTGGGCCCCACACTACAAGAAGGATGTGGAAATATTGGAAAGAGTCCAGCGGAGGGAAACAAAAATGATTAAGGGGCTGGAGCACATGACTTATGAGGAGAGGCTGAGGGAACTGGGATTGTTTAGTCTGCAGAAGAGAAGAATGAGGGGGATTTGATAGCTGCTTTCAACTACCTGAGGGGGGGTTCCAAACAGGATGGAGCTCGGCTGTTCTCAGTGGTGGCAGATGACAGAACAAGGAGCAATGGTCTCAAGTTGTAGTGGGGGAGGTCTAGGTTGGATATTAGGAAACACTATTTCACTAGGAGGGTGGTGAAGCACTGGAATGCTTTATCTAGGGAGGTGGTAGAATCTCCTTACTTGGAGGTTTTTAAGGCTTGGCTTGACAAAGCCCTGGCTGGGATGATTTAGTTGGGAATTGGTCCTGCTCTGAGCAGGGGGTTGGACTAGATGACTTCCTGAGGTCCCTTCCAACCCTGATATTCTATGATTCTATGATTTTGGTGATCATCCTCAATCCATACAAATCCCTGTCCAGAGAGATCCTGGGCAGATCTGGGAAGTGGTCCCAGATTTCTTGGGTCCCAGCCCAGTGGCCTAGCCCCAGGGCTGACCTCCCTGTCTGGGACACGGATTGGCAGTGGGGTCCCAAAAGAGCCTGTGGGGGCTTGGCCACCCAACCCCTTGGGCTGCTGTGAGAGCCTCAGCCGCACTCAGGAAAGGATACAGGGTTCGATACAGGTCCTTGGCCCCAGCAGGAGCAAGGGGAGACCCGAAACACTGCCCACAACTCCCCATATGGGGTGAGAGTCCCACTGCCCATGGGCCCTGATTCCCCCCCACCAAGAAACTCACCAGCTTGAGACCCAGGGGGAAGGAGAAAGGCCACGGGAAGCAGGATGAAGATCAAGAGCTGCATTGTCAGAGACATCCAGCGATGGGCACGGAGCCGCTGGTTGAGCTCTGGGGCTTATATGGACCAGGCGGGGGGAGGAGAGGGAAGGGCCTGTCAACCACAGGGATGTGTACCCTGCTGCCCAGAATCTCTCACCCCAGATGGCCCAGGGGTGGAGATGCTGATTGGAGAAGCCTCCAGCCACAGCTGTGCCCACATCAGGGTGCAGGGTTTCCTCCATGCTCTGGTGCCCACCCAGACTGGCTGTGGATGTGGTTAACCCTGCCACCTTCCCTACTATAGGTGTAAGAAACACCCCTGGGCTTCTCTGCACCTAGATACCCAGACCCATAGATTTCAAAAGCAAGAGGGACCATTGTGACCTCCCAACCTGACCTCCTGGTAGAAACCCCAGAGCCAGAACCCACCCAGCATTTCCTGCCTCCACTACGGCCCCAGGTCAGTTGTTCCCAATGCTCCATGTTTAATGGTTGCATATTAGTCTGAGTCAGACCTTTGCTGACTCCAGCTGCCGGCCATCGGGTCTTTTCCTGCTTTGTCCAGAGAGGTTGAAGACCCCCCTGCTCTCAGAAACCCCTGCCCCATGGAGGTTTCTGCAGAGGGGGCCAAGTCCCCTCTTCACCTCCAATACCCTCAGGAGACTATTCTCCTTTTACCTCTCCCCGCCAGCTTCTTCTTATCAAACTGTCTGTACTGGGCTAGCTTGATTATCACTTCAAAAGTTTTTTTTCTCTTAATTAATTGGCCTCTCAGAGTTGGTAAGACAACT